ATCAATTTGCTCTTTTTTTAACTTGCTCACTGACAACATTAAATGTCTCGTCATTCCTATCAATAGAGTACTGTTCGTAAATCAAGTCTTTTGAAGGTGAAACTTTCGGTAAACATTTTTCCCCGTTGTACAGGTTAAAAAGATTATGTCATTTTATGTAAAAGACGACAGGTATGTCGAATCTTATTGATTTCATAGACCAGCTATATCAGGCAATATACTGAAACTATTTTCTTGAAAGAAATATGTTTTAACGATACACGTTTAAACAGTATAATTTTAACAAATTGTAAGTGTACTTTTTTCTGAATCTGAAACCGACTCGTTAAAGTAAACTGTTCTAATTGGCCTGTTAAATATTCAAACATCTCCTTATGCCTGATTGCAGTTATACAATTAACTGCGTTGCTTAGTAAATGTGTTTAAAGACGTTTGAGAATGATTATGCTTTCATTTATCCAACTAACCAGACTTAATGTATCCATGTCTAGCTTTTAACGTGTTTTATTTCACAAGTGAAATTACAGTTAGATAGAGATTTGCATACAATTTTCAACTGTATTGTAACACGTAAGCAATCACGTCATATTTGTGTAAAAAACACAGAAACCGCTACACTTCTGTAACAAGCTACAATCTAAATTAGTATGAATTGGATTTTATTTCTCTCATGATCTTAAAATAAGGTCAAACATGCAGAAATTCTAGTCAATTTTAAAGATATTATTGAAAGACCATTACCACACAATCTCAGAATTGTCACTTTAGAAGATACAGACAAGATTAAAACAGGTATTAATTAATTGAAACAGGTATTAACTAATTAAAATAGGTATTAATATGAACACTTTTATAAGTTCTCAGGCTTACAGTAATGGAAATAATTATAGAAACATATAAGTGATACTCGTGCAAGAGCCTTGACATTTCAACACTGCGAACACTGGTTTCTATTTTAGCAGTGATAGGCTAGATGGAATGCAGCTAGTTAACACCACCCAATGCCAACTCTTGGGCTATTCTTTTACCAACGAATAGTGGAATTGACTGTCACATTATAACGCCTTCACGGGCCGAGTATGTTCGATAATGGGGATTCGAACACGCAACAGGTCGAGCGTCCTAATCACCAGACTGTGCCAGGCCCCGCCATAAATGGATTCAATCTACTATTACTTGGCATAGTATGATTGCCTGTATTTTTATAGGCTTTAGGCTCTTGTAGCACTTTCTAACTGGTTAGTTTAGTTTAGTTTGAATTTGGTAGTTGTTTCGATTTGAATCCTGGGACACGAACTCAGTTAGAATTCGGGGTACCAAGAAAACTAAGGGTGTTTAGAAATAGATTTCTCTTCCCACTTTCACTACTCAGACGCCGAGTAATCTATCCGGATAGTGCTTGAGTTTTGGGGCTGAAACGAGAAGGAAGAACACATTTCGTTATCACACTATATGTTATGACTGCACAAGTGAAAAGCAGACAGGCGGATGTGCCATGTTTAAGAGGTTTCTGCTAGGAGTAGGAAAGAGCGAACATTTTTCGGTTTTGATCGCTCCAGTTGCGAGCCGAGCACCATAATCATCAAGCTATGACAAAAATAATTATAATAAAGACATTAAACAAGCTTGAATGTAGTGAGATACAGATCCTTTTTCAATCAGAAACTTAAAACCTAAGCCAAATTGTTCGCTTGTTTTGATACCTGTGCAAAGTTACAAACGGGTTATTTGCGTTAGTTGCCTCATTTTGAAATGATAAACTAGAGGAAATGCAACTAATCAACAGCACCTACCGTCAACTTTTAGGCTACTCTAAAAGAAGTGAGAGTTCACCATACTCTTATAACGCCCTTACGGCTGAAAGGGCGATTATGTTCGGTTATAGGATTCCGCGACCTTCAGATTGCGAGCTGCGTGCCATAATCACAAGGGATGCTAGGTCAGTTACAGTCTAAAGACCTTATAACAGTCATAAAAACAAACCTTTATATATGAAAAAGAAACTGAAATATAAATATTACACGGAAGAAAGACATACTTATAAAGCATAATATACACTGAGCGTCATACCGTTTTTCAATCAAAACGGTATAGAAACGAGTCCTGAAACAGACATCGAAATAAAACAGAATGGCAGACTGAAATATGACTATTTTGTACAGAAAAAAATGCATATTTAACAAAAAGTAATAATAGCTTTATATAGAACATTAAGGAAAGAGAAAATGCACTAATATAGATTAGAAGTAAACATGGAATCTAGTATAAAAAAGTAGGTTTTAATATAGACATAACCAACACAAATAAAAACACAGACTGTCCTGAAAAAGTCGTTGAACAGGCAGAAAACTGATCTTAGTACAGAGAAAATATACACTCTAATGCAAACAGAAACTAGATTCCAAAACAAGCCTTCAAACAGGCAGCAAATTTATCTTAGTACAGAGAAAATACACTTCGATACAGACGAATTTATAGACCTCTAGAGCAAGTTCTCGAACAAATAGAAAACTGATCCTAATATATATTTCAAAACAAACAGAAACACAACCCCAAAACAAGCCTTCAAACAGGCAGTAAATTGACCCAAGTATAGATAAATCATGTTTCTCAATATTGATAAATAAAGAGAATTATAATGCAATCAGAACAACAAGATATTAGAAAGGCAGAAAATATAGACTCTAGGAAAGACAGAGAAATGTAAACTAATACAGACATTAGAACAGTTTCATGTCCACACTTGAAACAATCCATAAAATAATATGTAACACCTTTAGTCAGGAAAAGTTCTTAATGAATATTACGATAATGCTACTTATGTTTGGGTGGGATGTGACTGAATGGTTATCGTGCTCGGACTCTGAATTCGAGGATTTGAAAAAAAAACATGCTCAGCACTTTCAAGCATGGGTACGATATAATAGTGATGGTCAAATCACAATATTTGGTTAGAAAAGAGGGATCCAAGATGTGATGGTGGGTATGGTTGACTATTTATTAGCTCAAAATTATAGGCGGTTGTACACAAATAGCCCTTTATGTAGCGTTGCGCGAAAATTCTAGAAGAAACGAGCTATGTTAGTATATTAGAAAAAACTGCGACCTACTGGATTAAATAAATGTTCTTCAAGTTCTAAAATTATAAATGTTTATATGATATTTATATTTTATTTCGATATGCTTTGAAATAACACATTAGCTTGTTTTGTGTAAAATGAATGCCAAGTTCCATTACCAACGTAGTTACGCGTGTAATGGAGCTGTTCATAAACAATGCTTATAATTTTTATAGTTTATTATGATATTGAAGAGTTCCGTAAGTATAGTAATTTTCATTCATGATTAACGATGTGTTTTGAATAATTACTCGCCGTTAAGGATACATTTTGGTTGCGTTGTTAAGTAATCTTACTACGATATTTCTAGTGTTCTGTAATTAGCGTTTACGAGGTGGCTTTTAGTGTAAGCCAAAGTCACTGAGGGTTATTCAGTTTTATCGGCTTCTTTACTATTTCTAACGCTCTTCAATAACATTCTGCCCATCTAAGTATTAATATTTAACCTGTTGATGACGTGGTTCGCTGTCTTTAAAAGGCTACGAATTTTCTTACCCATAGAGAAATAATCGTCAAATTTAGTGTGAAGAAAATTATCAAATATGTTCAGCTATCTTAAGTAGAAGGTATTTATAGTATCAAAAAGCTGGTGTCTCCTAGAAATTAACGCTAATCACACCTCTTCTTTGTCAACATTTCTTTCAGTAGTTTTTTTACCGAACTTGAGTAGAATAACAGGAACAAAATAGTTTTGTATACGTAAATACAAATCAGCTGATTACTTCGTTATATCTAAGCTCTTTTAGTCATTACAAACCACAGATATTTGTGTCTGTCGCTTTCTTAACTGAAAACACTCTCAACTCTATAATTTTTTATTGTTTTCCTTAACAAAGTTGTTTATATATATATATATATATATATGTTATATATTATGGTGATACTGGTTAATACAGTGCTTTAAGAACTGTAATTTTCCCATTCTCTAAATTCAGTCTCTGCCAAGAGTGGTAATTGTTTTCTCCTATCATAAGTTCGAAGAGAATCTCTAAACACTTCCGGGCTCAGTCAACTGATTGATTCTCCTAGATAACACAATCGTTTGGTGGTGCAAAAAAGAAACATTTCAGTAATTAAGCTTCGTCTTGTGAGTCTCATTGTATAATAAGGAGTCGTTTTTACGTAGGAAGATCTTCAATGTTTCATAAAGTATGGTATTTTTGATGAAACACAGGTTACTATTCAAAGCTTGAATATAAATAAATAAATAATATATACTCGTACTCAATAGACGTTTACCTATGACTTCAAAATAGGTAAATAGCCATTACATTACAGTTTGGTTAAATGTAAAGCTCTTCCTTGTCATAAGTGCATTGCAAGCGTGCATATAGAATGCTTTATCTAATAAATATGATTCTTCTTGGTTTCTATTCTTAATAATTTATTGAGAACTCTGAAAGATCACTTGATAAATTTAAACCAACATACAGACTGTAAAAAAATGACGACAGAAAGTAGTCAAACAACCTTAAATTACAAATAAAATATTTCGTTAAAATTTTCAAGTGTGACTTTTGTTAATTTTCTTTTTCATTTTCGTATAAATAAATCTTATATTAAAGAAAAGACTAAACTACCCTCAAAATATGAATTACACAGCTTTTTTGAAGAATATAGTCATGTAAAATATGAAATTGTATTACTTAGACGTATATTAGATTACAGTAAAAGGCTAAGTAAAAAAGCTTATGATTAAGCATACTATCGTCTTATTCTCTCTAGACTTCTGAGTTTACTAACTTTGCTTCTGTGTTTTCATCTTAATTACGTCATATGATGCCTGCCTTGTGTAAAACGCCACTTAAAACTTACCCAATTAGAACTTTAAATTCAATACTAAACAATATTTTTGTTAATTTATGTTGCTGTTTTCATCAGGGCAGAAAGCACACATTGGCCACCTGTCCGTCCGCGAGCTTCTTCCCGAAACTGATTTTTACATTACTTATGAAGGCTCAACAACACTTCCCGGATGCTACGAGACCATAACATGGATTATCATGAACAAACCGATATACATCACCAAACAACAGGTGAGGAGTTATTCGTGTTACTAAAACCTTATGTAGTAAATTTGTTTTTCGATAAGTAATTATTTGTTGGAAATATTAGCTATTAGAATCTTACCTTATCCTTTCGGAAGCTTACATTATCGAATTAAAGGAAGCATTGTTTATTAAAACTCAAGGAAGATAATTTGAAAATAGTTATGAACTGTATTAGATGTTACTTCTTTAAAGTTGTAAGCTGTTTTAGCTAGAAATGTAGTTTGCTTTAACAAATACAGAAATTCTGAATTCAGTTTATATCTATCTCCTGTCGTAAGGTCAGTGCTAACTCGTGAACACGATAAAATGTAATTTTAGCTTTGAAAAACTAACAAGAATAAACCCTGTTTATGGGTTTGAAAAAATTATAAACTCCAATGTGTTTCTTTAATCGCATCAGTTGGAAATATAGGCTTAACTTCGCGTGGTTTATATTCAAACTCGAAAATTTAATTTGATTTGTTTTGCATTTTTTCGTTTCGCTATGTCAAGTGAAAGTAAGTTAATTTAGTGACAAGATGTTATTAATAATTACATCTTAACTCAGATAACACTGAGAACTTCAAGTTCAGTGAGAGAAATAAAATTCAGAAAGTTTATATTGTATTATATTGGCCCAATACTTATGTTGACCCTCCTATTATCAATATATAAAACTGAAAAAAAGAACATGGGTAATATGATTTATGTGTTTATCGATTCTTGAATAAGGAAACATATTATGTTAATATAATTATAGGTAAGCAAAGAACGATTTATAAACACAAGGAAAAGTTTTATTGATGGTGGAATATACGACATGTTTCGACAGGTCATTGGTCTGTCTTTTTCAAGCATGATTAGTACCGAGCAATATAAGGTCTATATATCGTTACAAAGACAAAAGCACAGGGGTTAAATGTGAAGGAAATTGTGTCAGCAGGTTGACAGGACATAGGTAGAGGTTAAATCTGGTAAATTGAATAAACCTTGCCAAATACGGCTGGTGTTGAATTGGACTATTATTACGGTTTAGTTTGCTTTAATAATTTCTATAGTTTCTAAACATTCTTTCTTTTTTAGTTTATGGTTGTTGTAGGAGAAGAAATTCATCCCAAAGTATTTTCTGACGTGTTTCATATTGATAATATGTTAAGGCAGATATCTAGAACTCACTCGCTTCTACGCATGTGACATTTCCAAAATCAGATGAGGGTGGTCATTAATTATTTCTAAAATGTTGCTGATAACTTTTCACACAATTGCACATAGATATTACTTAATGTTATTCAGCTCAGTGTGAAACAGTTCGTTATCCCTCATTTATTTGTGAGCACTGTTAATTAAGATTTTAATCAGATAATAATGAACTGCTTCACTCTGCATCCCGCTAGTTAAGCAAACACACGTTGGAGTGCAGTGATATTGAGCCATCCAAGCAGCAGTTGGTGATCAGAAGGTTAAAGTATTTTTACACACGTCTAAAGTGGTATAATGTAATATCTTGACATAGAACTAATCTATGAGTGAGGTGGTGGTAGCAGGAATTACGTAATTTTGGATTTCTTGGCTTCAGCATGATTGTGAAAACTGTGATTTATCGTGCAGTTAGTAGATGTAGTATTAAACTGTTATTGGAAATAATACCATTCACAAGTTTGAAATGTAGAGGAAATAGAAACATGGCAGCAATAGATGAAATTTAGGCTAGGTTATTCTTAGATGCTGGTACATACCTCTTAAGTATATGATATATATATACATAAAATATTTGTGAAAAAATTAAGTCATTTTACATCATTAGAATGGAAAATGTTTGTGCTCTGTAAGCATATAAGTTATATTAATTTTTTTACTCAGGTTTTTCGGCCCGGCATGGCCAGGTGGTTAGGGTGCTCGACTCGCAATCTGAGGGTCGCGGGTTCGAATACCCG